AAAGTCCAGATGGTTTTTGTTCTTGCTGAAAAAACTTCAAACTGCTGAAGATGTAGTACCCCAAGTAATGTCATGGCATCAAGCTTCTGCAAATAAAACTGAACCCTTCAGAGTCTCCAAAACACAAGAAGGAAAAAGTGGGAACACATAAAAAAGATCTCTGCAAACACTATGATATAGTCTCCCCTTCTATCCACACCAACCACTCATTTCTGACAAACATTTCTTCCCTTTTCCAACTCCATGCCTTTAATATGACCCCATCAATACAGTTTGATGGTGGTAAACTGGTGCAATCAGCCAATCACCACCCAGAGAAGTGTTGCCTGAGATTTACTTAGGGACTAGAGAAAAATAATTGATAAAAAAAAGAAATTAGATGTAAAAGATATCCAACCGTCATTGTATGACGGTTGGATATCAAAAGGAAGTATTATGTACATGCAAACATTACAAAGAGTACTCTTGAATTGCTGCTCAAGTAAAAGAAATACACTCAAAATGCAAGAAGTCTGTATTCTGATCACAGGGTTATAGTTTATGATATCAAACTATAGTCACAAATCAAATTTTGTATTTTTCAAATCAGTACTGTATTACTAGTTTGTGACAGATGCACTAATCCCATACATCACGAGTCAATAGTGTCTGCATTTTCCACATCATGATGATATGGTCTGTCACAAATGTGACTCAGACAATAGACTGATCCAACCTCAGTGAATCTAGGTCAGAGGTTAGGGTCCGGTTCAGCAAGGTTTACTTGTCTATTTCCTGCAACACTAGCCCAACGTGTGCCGGTCAGGCTAAGAAAACACTGAAACACATATGTGAAAACACAGACACAAACACATACACATTTTCATGTAATCTTCCATCGAGGCAGCGGACTTCCACCTTACCAAGCTGAAAAAACAGTGGTTGAAGGGGGTGAGGTTAATTTGAGTGGGCCTGAGTTTCCTCTTAAAGAGTTAAGTCACACAAACATCAATCCGACAGGGAGTGTGTGTGTGTGTGTGGTGAAGAGGTGTCGACAGCTAGAGGTGTTTCATGGTCAGCAGTGCATGGATCAGGGAGGTGAGGTTTACAGCCAAGTCAAACCTACAGCAGGACAGAGCACATTCGCAATAACAGCATGAAAATGTGTGTGTGTGTGTGTGTGTGTGTGTGTGTTTCGTATCAGACTGTCTTCTTTTATTCTCAGGCACTCTTTTGTGTCTCTGTGGTATCTTGGTACATTAATAACACTGAGCCACAGAAGTATGAGCCTTAGGTAAAGAAGAAAGGCAGAGTGACCTCCCATGTCATTGCACAGGAATTATTTCCCATTTCTGTAACAATATTGCATCACTTTTCCAGCCAACTCCCTGCTATTTTCATTCAAGATACAAAAATCAAGAAATCCTTTCTGCAAAATCCTCACATTTAATTATGGAAAACCTTGAAGGAAAGCAAGAAAGGTGAGCGCATCGAGAAATTACATACAGTAGAGCATTTATGTTGTGAAAGAAAATGAAAGTGAGTCTCTTTCTGCAGTCCATTAGGGTTAATTACAGCCTTGTGTTGGGATGCTTGTAACAGAACAGGGTTGGTAATTAAAGTACAGGTAAGACATTAACTTACTTTTGTTAGCCATTAATCAGTGTTTACCTTCAGAGAGCTCTCCCTTTGTAATTAATAATCAGCTTGGACAATGAGTAATCACCCAAGAGGAAGTTGTGTGTACATGTGTGTGTGCTAATGTTGGTCTGTGTTATTAACAAAAGGGGTTTTCCCACCTTTGAAATAGCATCTTTACTGATCAAACAACCGATCATCCATCTCACCAGAAAAAAGTCAATAAAATAAGTAACAAAAACAGAGGAGCTCTTAAAAGAAAAAATGCTGTAAGACTGTATTTTTCCTTTGTTTTCATCCATCTATTTCTCATCACCCTCCTTCTCTCCCATCTTTTGTTTATCCTGTTCTCGGCATCCAAATGGCATTGTAGGTTTGGAACGATTACATCTTGGGAAGGCCTCAGCAACCCCACTTAACCAGCACCCCACTAACTTATTTCTCTGTCAGCCTTGTAGCTACTTCACCACACACACATACATAGACACACACA